TATATATACTGTATATATACCCCATGAGAACATTGTAGAACTGCCTGAAGTTTAATACTTCAGTATTTATTGTAACATTTTGAATAAAATATACTTAGTCCATATTAATGAAAAGATTAACGAAGCGTGTACCTGATTCTCCTTTGAAGTTTGCAGTTGGTATGAGTGCCTGGACCGACTCGTCACCTGTGGTGACTGGTATCCACTTATTTGACCATGTGACGTCGCTAGGTATGACTTCAATCTGTACGTCTTAATAAAGAGAAGAAAATCTTGGTCATCATCATCATTATTGTCGATCAACATCATCGTAATCATCATCATTATCATCATTATCATCATTTTCATCATCATCATCATCATCATAATTATTATCATCATCATACTCACCATCATCTGCCACTACCACTGCCATTGCCATTGACACTGCCACTACCACTACTACAACCACAACCTATACCACAACCACTGCCACTGTCACTACAACTACCACTACCACGACAATTACCAGTACCACTACCACTACCACTACCACTACCACTACCACTACCACTATTACTACTACTACTACTACTACTACTACTACTACTACTACTACTACTACTACTACTATTGCTGCTACTGCTAGTACTACTACTGCTACTACTACTACTACTAATATATTGATACTAATACTGCGTATGCCTACCGATATTATTTTGGTTGGTAAAGTTGAAATTTGATGAGTTTAAGTTTTCAGAAACGGTGGCCGTGTACGATTCTAATATAGACAACATGGTGCTTGGAACGCCCTAAGGATAGCACAAATAGCAGAAAAGGAATGATCAATACCAAGACAAATGTTTTATTGTTTATTCTAATTGTTTTATTGTTTATTTAATTAATCATACAGGACCACTAGTGTAAAACAGTTTATCACTGGTCATGTTATCCTGTAAAAAGACGTTTTTCAATAAATAAAGAAATTACTGTATAATTGATTAATTGATTCTCAATGCTTACTGGGTTGTTGTTTTTGTCTGTCGGTAATTGTATATGATTTTACTGGATTGATGTATAATCTTATTTCATTTAATCTTCTTAGTATCTACATTGTATTTGTCTTACTATGTTTTTTTTTAATTGAAGCTTATATGTATATGTGGGCCGAAAGAATCCAAATAAAACTGCTTGTTCAATTTGCTGTATTCTGTTACTGTTACTGTTTTATTCATCATCATCAATAGACTATTTACATTACGAAAGAAAAACAAAATTTGGTTTTTTTTTTTATTGATAAATGAATGGAGTCCTGTTTTTGTTTTTTTTTTTTTTTTTTAATGCGTTTGCGTCGGTTCGTAACTGAAATTGAAAAATCTTGGAAATATGTTGAAGCATCCGAGAATTACGGCATACATAGCCAGGACGGTTTTGTTAGGTTTTCCACCCATAGTTAAATGCCACTTTCCGAAACATAATGCGTTAACATCTATCGGGATGGATGGCACAGTATTCCATTGTCTATAAAACTTTTCATTTGATACGTCAAACAGACAATAGACAGCACATTTTTCATTTATTCTTACGAAATTACATTGTTGTCTCAATCTCCTTGAGAAAAAACAAATGAATTGCTTAGTGAAGTTGAAAATATATCTGTTAATAAAGGAGTTAGAATGTTGGGTATAATTCGATGTATTACAGCATGAAGTTACAGTACATTTGACTTCTTACTTTTTTGTTGCAGCTAACCAGTTCATCGACTGCAGTCAGGGACGGATCCAGAGATGTCCGAAAAGGGAGGAGGCGAAAGTGGGGACTGATCGAGACAACACTACCCTAGGGGGTCCAGGGGCATGCCCCCGCGATTTTCATTTTTGCTTTCTAGACGCCCAAAAATAACCTCTAAAGCATTTTTGGCGATTAATTATTTCTTTTGTTTTTTTCTTTCTTTTTTCTTTTTTTTAACTTTCCAAAAAAAAAAAAAAAAAAAAAAGGAGGGATGGGGCGGCCGGCCGGCCCCCTCTACATGTGCCACTTGCAGTTCCAAATCGATAATCCTCTCAAACCTGCCCACAAAATCAGTTCAATTCAGTTCAAAATAACATTTATTACCTTCCTTTGAAGCATAAATATACAAAATAACTGTTCATTGTGATAAATATAAAAAAAACCCAGCAAATAAAGGAAGGAGGCAAACGCCCGAGAAGATAAAGGAATCTTGTGCTGGGCCAGCATAATGAAACAACAAAAAAAAAAAGACAGGAAACAGAGCGGGACGAGAAAGGCAGGCGAACGAATATACAGGGACAAAACGGGAGCGAAAAAACAAACAAGAAAGCCAACACTAGACAGGGAAAATCAAGAGAAAAAGAAAGACCGCGGTAAAAATAATCGAAAAGGGGGATTAAAAAATAATATTTACTAATTTTAAATAAAGTGTTTTTTAAGTTTGGTGGAAAAATTTGTCTATGTCACAGCAATATACACGCACCCCATCATACTGAACAATAATTAACCCTAGAATAATGGATATAAAAATATGTTATTATCTTTCCGTCGAACTTCAAAGGAGTTTTTGTCTACATAAGCGATGTCTTTAACAAAGAACGCTAATATTGTCGCAATGGTTTGCTCAAAACAAATGTTAATAATTATTAACAGTATTACTATTATAATTTTCTTACCGATTCAACTGTGGACACGAGCAAGTCTTCTTCAAGAATATCATCCCAAACCTTTAAGAACCTCTGTTGAAAAGCGTTAAAATTGTAAGGCATACCGTACAGTACACAGGCCTAGGCACCGTAAAATGGATAGGCTTGAAACGATTACAACATCTTACGTTCCTATTTGATCTATCAAATTGATCTGTGTTATACTTAGTTGAACTGGCACTGTTCTACGTACATGCACAAGGCTATGTAAAAATCAGTTGTTTCTAATGCCCCTTTCCCACATTGACGATTTTTGCTACGACAGAGCACGATTTTTCAATTTTGAAAAATCGCAATGGCGTCGTCGTAAATGACATGTTCAAAAATAATTCATCGTTTTGCATCGTACTGGATCTTGATGTCATCGTGATGGAGCACGATTTTTTGGAATGTTAAAAAAAATCGTGCTCAATCGTAGCCGTGAAAAAGATCTTGGTCTACCGCAGCGGCATCGTGTGAGTGGCGTAACGTTGTCGACGTTTGTCGTGACTGTGTCTTGTCCATTCGTACTACCAACAACACCTACGACAAGCCAAGACGTCGCTGAGGTGCTGAGACGATTAGATACGATGCCATTAGGATACCATCAAGACCGTGGTTTATATCACGTGGCTCTGTGTCAGAAAAGTTTTTTCAACACACTGAACAATTCCTTGCTCACTTGGAGGAAGTTTCTGAAGCCTCTTGTTTCTTCTCTATTTAACTGTACTAGTAAGTGTTCATACTGTCTAAAATATGGACGACGTAGGAGCCATGGCTGTACCCATACACTTTAGGCCTATGCATTCGACGTGACCGACGCTTACTCTTGATTATCAAAGCTGTAGCAGCCAACAAATTTTCTTCTTCTATAGCAGCAGCTTGCAAATATTGATGGTGTTTCAACAGTGCGCTTTTTGTCATGTCATGTGATGTTTGTTTTTGTGATGTGCGTCTTGTTAAATCGTGCTAACGTCGTGCTTGCGTCTTTGTAAAATCGTAGTGACGTCGAATTAAAATTTTGGTAAGTTGTAATACGTCGTCACAAATCGTAACTCTATCGTTATAATTCTTTAAAATGTCGTCGCACTATCGCAATAGTGCCGTAATACATCTTGACGGCGTCCTAGTAGCGTCTTGATCAAACGTAAATCTTGAACTTTTTGAGTACGAATCATTACGATAGAGCGCGATTTTAAAACTTTTTAAAATCGTGCTCCATCGTAGCAAAAATCGTGAATGTGGGAAAGGGGCATTATAGGAATTGAATTGGCAACCAAGCTCCAGTGGCCCAGTTGGCATCTGCATCGATAGCAGAAGATCGATTATGATTTTTATCCCGATTGGGACAATTTTCACTCTCACAAATTTATCTTTCTTAACCGTCAAATCTCGATATATTGGCTTTTGTTACCTTTACAGTCGTTTCTGGGGATGCAGATAGTGGTGCAATGACACATAGTGTGCGAATTATATTTGAAACATCGTTAGATTCCAAGTGGTCAACATCTTTCGACAGGATGTGCTCGATGGATCTTAAAATTTCGTCGGCATCATCTTTACTCATTTCACTTCCAAGTGACATAGAGTAATTCAAAATCTGCACGATCTGTAAGAGCAATAACAGAGTCATATAAGAGTAAGTTAGTGTGATGCAATTATTTCCTTTAATCTTCAGGAACAGATATGTTTAGTATTGTTAAACATGGATATTTATTTTATTTTGTAAATAAATGCACTTGTTAATTTGCATTTATATTATTAGGCCTATTTTCACTTAAAAGCCAAAAACATACTGAAGTCTTGAAGTAATCTCCGATGAGAATTTTAGCAATTTAGAATATTTATTTAATCGATTTTAGAGCCACACAATGGCTAAACACCTTACCTGATCTGAAACGGCTAAATATGTTGTCTGGATAGTTGTTTGAGAAAAATCCAGAGTGCTCAAAGGAAATGTCAGGCCTGTTGAATTGAACGATGTCAGTGTTTCTGCACTTGTAAATGAACTAGTAGGTCTTACGTTCATCTGAGAGGACCACGTTTGTTCGCTACTAGAAGTCGTTTGCTGTGTGAAGGTCGTCAGACGTTCTGTGGTCATAGAAGTATCTGAAGTCCATCCGTTTTTGTCTACGAAGGAAATTCTTAACGTTTTATTTTTTTAAATTTTCATTTAATTGTACCTAGCAGCAATTTTTAAATACCTTTCAGAATTCAATTAATAATAATTAATATTATTTGGTCATAAATTCAAACAAAATGATTCTGAAACAATGGCGAAACCAATGCTAATCAAAATTAACTTAATAAGAATCTGGTTTTGATTCAGACGGATTTTTGCGTCAGGAGTAATATTACGAATCGATGTTTTGCCCTACTGAAGTTATGGTACTGAATGCTCAGTAGGCCTACGTTCCCAAATACTTGCGAATCTCCCTAGTGATTCAGATGGGAATCGAACCTACTCCTACGACCTCCAGGTAACTACCCACGTTTACAACTTGATCACCGAGCTTGCGCTTGGTAGCTAGCGATGGATACAATCCCAAAGTAGCAGCTATTCCGATGGTTTTTTTGAGTCAAGCGAAATATTTACGAATCGATGTTTTGCCATCTGACGTGCTTTAGTACTGAATGCTCAGTACGTTCCCAAATGCTTGTGAATCTCCCTAGTGATTCAGGTGGGAATCGAACCTACGACCTCCAGATAACTACCCCGTTTACCACTCGATCACCGAGCTTGAGCTTGGTGGCTAGTGATGGATACAATCCCAAAGTAGCAGCTATTCCGATGGAGAAATATTTGCGAATCGATGTTTTGCCATCTGACGTGCTATTAGTAATGCTCAGTACGTTCCAAAATGCTTGCGAAAAAATCTCGCAAGTGATTCGGGTGGGAGTCGAGCCCAATACAAATGGCACGAAGCAACTTAAGATAAGATCGAAATGAAGTAGACCTATTTATAAGCTTAAGTAATAAAATAACTTATGACAGCCGCCAATGAGGCATGTTTAAAAAAAAATAAGATGTGACACACCAACCTGTGGTTTGCATTTGTTCCGTGTATGGATCAGCATCTGAAAACATATAATATTATTATTATTTTTGTGTTTATGTGAACATAATGGCGATTAATCGTTAATAATAATATCGATAATGATAACAACAATAATTATAATCATAACAATATAATAACTTTATTAATATTCATAACAATAACTTACAGAATTCAGGTGTTATTGACATGTAAAATCCAGGACGCCTGATTGTAGGGTTAGTGCACATGTATATGTCAAACGATTCGAAAGAAATACTCTCGATCGTCATCAGTAGTTGGACATTTCCATCCGATATATCTTCCGTTTGTGTAGCGGTAGCGGTATCGTAAACTATATACATGAAGTCGGAACCAGTTTCCATATTTACGAATTCGAATTGTACCTTTAGTCTATTAAAGCCTGTCGCTGGAGTTACACGCCAATGCCTATGCACGCAGTTCCGATAGTTGTCAGGATAATTCAGATGCGTGAAAATGTAGATAGAAGCAACTTTAATGCCGACTACAGTTAGATTCCATCTGCCGGCATCTGATAAAACATGTAATGTAGATATACATATAACAGGGCCGGCGGAACGTTTTTCAAAGTGGGGGGGCCCAACTTATAAGCAGGCGCGTAACAAGGGTCTTGGGTCGGGGGGGGGGGCAAAGGTA